TAAAACTTCTATACAACAATTTATATACTTATATAACTGTTGTGATCGATCCTTCTACTACAAGTTATCATATTTTTTATTTAAAAAAATTTTTTTTAGAATAAAATTTTAAGGTTTAAAATATTTATAAATACTAAATAAAAATATACATAATTAATTAATATTTAATATGTATTTAATATTCAAGCAAATATACTACTTACTTAACTTTATTAAATATATCAAGTAGTAGTTTACATTTTATTCTATATTCTAATTCTGCTCTTGCTTTATCTTTAAAACTAACTTGTATTTTTCTACTTAAAGAGCCTTTATTATGTTTAAACTTTGTTTTAATAGAGGCTCAAGATATACTATATATTGTTATTCTTTCAATAAAAGCATTTAGCTCTTGTTTTAACCATTTTTGATTTTATATTCTTATACTAAGAATTATAGTAGTATTTTAATAGTAAAAATTGTTCTAATATACTATATTTTTTTAATAATTTTATTATAAATATCTAATTCTTATAAGCTTAGGAAAGTACTTGTAGGAATATATAGAGGAGCATTCACAAGAGTATATAGAGAAGCGAGAATATACAGAGAAGTGAAAATATACAGAAGAGTATTCACAAAAATATATAAAGGAGCAGAAACATACAAGAAAGCATTTATAGGAATATACAGAAAAGTACTTACTAAAACTTATAGAGAAGCAAAAATATATAGAGAAGCATTCACAAAAATATACGAGAGAGTACTCATAGGAACTCACAAAAAAATATTTAAAACACTCAAAAAAATATACTATAGAGTATTCAGAAGAATATACAGTAGAGCACTTAGAAAAATATATAGTAGAGTATTTAGAACATATGATAAAGCACTTGGAAGAATATATGGTGGAGCTACTTAGATTGATTTGAAATATATTGTATTATTGAAATTGATTATCTTTTGATATTTATATTATACTAAGCTTTTACAGACAATTTATTTATATAAGCCAATTAGATAAAAGTTTGCTATATGGTATTAACTATTAGTATGTTTATAAAATCAGTAAATCAAAACAAAACTCATAAAAAAGAAATATCTAAAAGGCAAAAATATGCAAAAACTAGTATTTAAATTAATTTTGGTATACTAATTAAAAATGTTGAAAATAAAATTTTACAAATAAATATATATTATATAGCAAAACCTTTTGAATAATAGATTAAGAAGCAGTACATATTAGCCCAAATTACTGTTATTTGAATCATGATATTATTCTTGTTTTTTTAGTTTATATTATCTGTGCAAATAAGTAAAATAGTATATATATCAATATATCTGATATTGTAATATAATGTAATCAAAAAAATTTAAAACAAACTAAACAAACACCTACTATATTTAAAAATTACTTTTTATTTAATAACAATAAATTATAATTTAGTTTGATATATTAAAATTTTTTTTTATTAATTGAAATTATTTCTTTGGTAAATAGTACTATATTTAGAGTATATCTATTATAATATTGTATGTGAGCAATGACAATAGATCAATTTATTTTATTAATATTGTTGAAAAGTTTAGTTAAATATACTAATTTTTTTCTATTTACTATTATTAGTTGAAATCGTTTCTTGGTAAGTAGTATTTAGAATCTATTTATTATAGCATCAAGTGTGAGTGATAATACTATTGTGATTATATATATTATACTGACCAAATTTGAGTTTACTAGGGCTAATTTATTGTAAATTATTTAGTTTTATTAATATTTTTATCAATAGAGAAAATTTATTAATTAAAATTGTTTTTTGGTAAGTAGTATCTAGACTTATTATGGTATCAAGTATAAGCAATAATACTATTATAACTATATATATTATATTGGCTAGAGTCTCTTTAATTTGAGTTTGCTAAGGCTAATTTATATATATTATATACATATATTTAGTTTTATTAATATTTTCATCAATGAAGAAAATTTATCAAGAAAGTTATTTAGCTTTGATTGATGTTTCTTGATGATGATTTGATTAAACAAGATAAGTATATTATTTATTAGTCTATTCTTTATAGTTGTTATTGTTCTCTTCACTAATATTTTATTAACAAAGTTTTTTTTCTATATTTCATTACTCTTTTTTAGTATTAGTCGATAACATAGATCATAATATTTTTTTAAAAAATATTAAGGTAACTACTTTGGGTTTAGCATATTTTATTTGCAATCTGAATTAAACACCAGCTTGGTCTTGTTGACTTAACTTGACTTTGTTATATCAATAAGAGTATAATTAGTCACAATACAATTTTAGTTATTATCTATTTAAGGGTTCTGCTATATCTATTTCTATCTATAGTTACTCATCAATTGCTATATCTAAGATCTATTTGTAGATCTTCTATTTAAACTCTCTGATCAACTTCATGCTATCATATTGTTTTCACTACTGCCTAACTGCCACTAAGATATCTTAGAACTACTTTATTATCATAGTAAACCTGTTAGAACTTTTTATATCCATAATCTAACTAACCTAGTCTTTAGTAACTTACACTAAATGTGAAAACAAGTACTTGCGAACTGAGACCACTACTATTACTGCTACCCTTACAAAGCTTACTCAAACTCAAATATATACTTTACAAACTATTACCAGTATTCTCAACTATCCCAAACTACTAATTTAGATAGTTCAGAAGAGCTGTGGTCCTATGGTTAGATCCTTTTTCTCTAATACTTCTTCAACAATCTGGTTGATAGAATGCTTTGCCAAATACTTCAGTTCTATTCAGTTTTTGCCAGTTCTCTCAATAATAATCTTTATATAGTACTGTCAAAAGTTTGAATTATCTTTTTACTTAGATCTTGCCAAGCAGGCATCTATCTTTCCAGTTTTTTAAATTAATACAATCTGAGAACATATTCATATAACTCGTATATTGTATAAATACTCTATGATCTCCTAGTCTTGTTGGTGCCACCAAAGTTACAGAGATCTTGTTTCAACTAATCGTTAAAAGACAGTAGTTATCGTACAAGTAGAATATTCAAAATTCATCACCAGTGTATTTTGAATTTCCTATCTAGCCAACATATCACTTAGGAATGTAACAACTTAACCACTTCACTAAGTTGTTACACCCTTGGTTATAATATATATTTTTTTGAATATTAATAGTGAGACTATATTTTTGATTTTATTAAAATTTAATTTAATTCTTCTATTTCTTAAACTGTAGGTTTTTCCAGACAAATTTGTCTAAAAAATTATCATAAATATGATTATGATCTATTTTTTTTAAATTTTAATATATTTAAATAAAATTTTTTTTTGATAATATTTAAAAATAAGGATTATA